TGTTGTGCAAGGGACACCTGCAAAGCCAGTACCTGGATCCTTTGGTTCCTCGCTTTCAGGTCTCGCTATGTTGTGGCTCTGAGCACTGACAAGTCTTTATTCACCCCCACCCTATCCCAACACCTGCTTTGGAAGAACCTCTTGACTGAGGATGAGCCAGGATGTGGCATTTCCATCAGCGATCAAGGTTACACAGGCCTTGCTTGCCTGACTGTCATGTGGGATCCCAGTGAACATGGCCCCTGCATCCTATGAACGTGGATACAGCAGACCTTTTTCAGCTGTTTGCCTGTGGGTCCCTCTTACCTCCTCTCAGTATTCCCTTCAAGTGTTGCAGTTATGGGAATATGGTCAAACCTCACACACCTCCAGCCTTAGTCTAACTCTGCTTTGGCAAAGGTATGACCAGCAAGAGCTGTGAAGCCATCTCCTGTTGTATACAGCTGACTCCAGCGATACCCTCAGCTGTTTTCCCATGCTGTAGCCGGGCCCACGGCTTCCCTCCTTTTGTCTGTGAGTGGGACAGCTCTTCAGGTCAGCTGTCGATCTGTTCTGCCCAGGCTGGCTCTGAGAATTTCTCTCCTCTCCCACAGTGCGCTCTGGGACATTGAGACGGGGCAGCAGAAGACTGTGTTCCTGGGTCACACCGGAGACTGTATGAGCTTGGCCGTCTCCCCAGACTTCAAACTCTTCATCTCTGGGGCTTGCGATGCTACTGCCAAACTGTGGGATGTGCGGGAGGGCACCTGCCGTCAGACCTTCTCAGGGCACGAGTCCGATATCAACGCCATCTGCGTATGTATGCTGTCTGCACAGTGGTGGGGAGGCGAGAAAAATGGGGGGTGGACCAGCTCTGAAACAGGGTCTTGGGACAAGGGTCTCAGGCCAGCTCTGAAACAGGGTCTTGGGACAAGGCTGAAAGAAGCTGTCACAGTCGTGTGGGGAACAAGGGTCTCAGAAGACCTTGGCCCCATCACTCAGCCTGAAGCAGGGAGGGCCTGAGGTCACTGAAATTTGGAAGCTGGCTTTTGCTGGGCACCAAAGCATCCTGCTCTGGCTCAAAGCACTGCTTGGACGCAGCCGGCACACTGTGGTCTGTGGAGCTCAGCACCCTAACACAGGCTCTGGTGCAGCTTTGCGTATAGCGCTGTTGGGAACCATGGTTCAGGCATGCTCCAGGAGCCCTGGCACAAGACACAAGTGAGGCAG